AAATACATCAATTTAATCTATCATACTAATAGTCCAAGGAAAAAAAGTCCAGAAAAAACATTTGACAAAATTCAACATCCACTCATGATAAAAACTTTCAGCAAACTGGGAATAGAGAGGAACATCTTTAACGTGATAAGAGGAGTCTGTGAAATACCTAGAGGTAACATCATATTAAATAGTGAAAGGCTGAACAGTTTCTCCTAAGAAGAATGAGGAAAGAATGTCCACTCTCACCACACATGTTGGACAGTACTAGAAGTCCTAGCACGTGTACTAAGGCAAGGAAAATAAGTAAAAGGCATTCAGGTTGTAAAGAGAAAAAGAAAACTGTCCCAATTTGCAGACAACATACTTGTCTATATAGCAAACCCAAAGGAATCTACAAAAAACTCATGGAACTAAACACGAGTTTAGAAAGGTCACAGGAGGTGTCCTGGGTGGCTCAGTCATTAAGCATCTGCCTTTGGCTCAGGTCATGATCTCAGGGTCCTGAGTTCGAGCCCCGCAATGGGCTCCCCGCTCAGCAGGAAGCCCGCTTCTCCCTTTCCCCCTGCTTATGTTCCTTCTCTCACTTTGTCTCTCTCTGTCACATAAATAAATAAAATCTTAAAAAAAAATAGAAAAGTCACAGGATACCAGGTCAATAGAAAAATATCTAGTTTCTAGCAATTGCCTAATGGAAACTTGAATTTAAAACAATACCATTTATCGTGGCTCCAAAGATTTAAATATTCAGGTATAAATCTACCAAAACATGTACATGAATATTGCTGTATGCTTAAAACTGCAAATGCTGATACAGAAATCAAAGAAGACCTAAATAAGTGGAGAAGCATTCTGTGTTCATGGATTGGAAAATGCAACATAGTATGATGTCAATTTTGCCTAAATTGATCTATAGATTTAATGAAATTCTAATCACTATCCCAGCAGAATTTTTTGTAGATATAGACAAACTGATTCCAAAATTTATTTTGTAAGGCAGAGGAACTAGATAACTAAAACAATTTTGAAGAAGACCAAAGTTGGAGGAATCATTTTAGCCTATTTTAGGATTTACTAGAAAACTACAGATTCTGAGCCAATGTGGTATTGGCAAAGGTACAGACACATAGATTAAATAGAAAGTCCAGAAATAGACTCACACAAATATGGCCAATTGATTTTTTTTTTTTACAAAAGTGCAAGAGCAATTAAATGGAGAAAGAATAGTGTGGTCAAAAACTAGTGTTAGAACAATTGGATATCTATCTGCCAAAAAATAATAATAATAACCCTAACTTAAATCTCATACCTTATACAAAAAATAACTCAAAAATAAAACTATAAAACATTTAGAATAAAACAAAGGAGAAAATATCTGTGACCTAAGGTTAGTCAAAGAGTGATTAGACATGATGCCAAAAGCATGATCCATTTAAAAAAACAGTGAGATAGACTTCACCAAAATGTACAACTTTGCTCTGCAAAAGACAATTAAAAGAATGAAAAGACAAACTACAGACTAGGAGAAAATATTTGTAAGTCACATATTCAACAAAAGACTTACATTCAGAGTATATAAAGAATTCTCAAAACTCAGTTGTAAAAAAGAAACAACCCAATTTAAAAATGGGCAAAAGACTTGAACAGACACTTCATTGAAGATACACAGATGGCAAATAAACACATCAAAAGATGCTCTACATCATTAGCCATTAGGGAAATGCAAATTAAAACCACAAAGAGATACCATTACATACCTTTCAGAATGGCTAAAAAAACCAAACAAGCAAAGAACCCTCCCCCCACAAAACCAACCTAAACAAACCAAACCAAAACAAAACAAAACAAAAAACCCCAAACAACTAATAATACCAAGTGCTGGACATGATGTAAAGCAACTGGAATACATTGTTGGTAGGAAAGCAAAATGAAACAGCTACTCTTGAAAAAAGTTTGGTATTTTTGTATAAAGTTAAACACACATATTTACATATAACCCAGAAATCTCAGTTCTGGGTATTTACCCTAGAAATAAATACTTATAGTCACTCAAAAATCTGTACAAGAATGTTTGTGTCAGGTCTAGTCATAATAGCAAAAAAAGAAAAAGAAAGGAACAACCCAAATGTACTCTGGCATTTGAATAGATAAATGGTGATGGATCATATTTCATAATATGATGGAATACTACTCAGCAACAAAAAGAGCAAATCACTGATAAGTACAATATAGATGAATCTCAAAAACTAGGCTGAGTGAAAAAAGCCAGACACAAAAGAGTACCTAGTGCATAATTCCATTTATTTGCAATTCTAGAAATAAGCAAAAGTAAATTATAATGACAGAGAGCAGATCAGTAGTTGCTGGGGGATTGACTACAAAAGGGCAAGAGGGAGCTCTTTGAATGATAGAAATATCCTATATCTGGATCGTGGTGGTGGTTACATGGGTATAAACATTTATCAAAATTCAAAGTTGAAATGTTCACATCTTATGACCTAGCCGGCTCATTTTTAGATATAGAGCAATGTTTGTTAAACTGCTGGTAGTGAACCATTATTAGTGAACCACTAAAGCAATCCAGTGTGACTCCTTAGATGGGTATTTACCCTGAAACAAAAGATGGCTAGGCTTCAGGCTCCCTCACTTGCAAACCTTCTTCCAAGGCCTGGTTACTAATTTTGTATTCATAATTTTGTATTCTTTTTCTAAAGGGGGCCCCCAAATTGTATAAATTTTAGGCAAATTTAGACAAAACCTAGATTGCCTCTGGATGGCCAGATTTTTTTTAAATGAAATGGAATAGAAAATAATGAGAATGTTTTATTAAACATTTGTTTCATTTTATACAATGGGTCATGACTTAAAAATTTGTCTTTTGCCAGGGTTTGTGTTTAAGGGAAAAAAAAAAGAAAGAAAGTTGGATATTCAGTGTTGTGTGGCGACTATAGACGTATGTGTACATTCAATGCAACACTGTAAAAGTAAATATTTGGAAATAACCTAAATGCCCATCAATACGAGAATAATATAGTGTTATATGTATGTTGTGGAATTCTATATAGTTAAAACGAAGGATCTAAAGGTACATACATCAGGCTAGATGACTCTCATAAACCCACCATTAAGTATTAAAAAAAACAAAACAAAAAACCACAAGTTAAAGAAGGTTACCTAAAGCCCAATATTTAGATAAAATTTAAAATCACGTGAGAAGCAATAGTAAGTCTGGTGAATTTTAATGTATTGTTTGCAGATATAGTCATTCTACAGTACAAGTGTTAAAATATGTATGAAGCTGAAGGATAGTGGTTACTTCTGGGGAGGAAGGAGAGAGGGAGGGAATGATATCAGAACACACAGGGCTTCCTTTGGCATGCGATTTTTATTTTGTTAAATTTAATAAGGCTAGTTGGTAGATGTGTGGGATTTTTGCTGTATTATTCTGAATTTTCTGATTGTGTTATATTCTGTATGCATATTGTTTTGTTGTAAACATTGGTAATAAATATTATTTCATATTTGTGTCGTGTGGGCATTTACACACATCACACCACTTAATCCTCATGATGACCTTACGCAGTAAGTAGGGCAGTTATTATTATTCCTATTCTACAGTTAAGGAACCCAAAACTGCAGAACAATTTGTTAAAAACAGGATTGGGGACTCTGTTGTTTCTTATTTCGTGGAAATATGATTTGCATGGAAATATGCTGGAGAAGTTTCCTTCAAGTCCAGCCACTCCCTCCTACCGGAACCTTGGTAAGGCACTTACTCAATGGGGGAATGAATTGTATTAACAATAGCTAAACGTTTGTTCAAAAAGTAGTCATTCGAAAGTCCCGGAGGAAACCTCCAATAATGACTTTGTGACGCGGAGGATACATATTTACAAGGCAATTCTTCGGAGGCACAGGCGGGTTTTCTGCTGGCCGCCGCCCCCTGGCTCACTCAGTGACCTTGGACAAATCACTTAACCTTTCACTATTTACAACCCAGTAAACCGAATGTGTAATATTCATGACTGCTCACTCAGGGCTCCTGCCAAACACTTTTTTGAAAACCAGGGACCGATTTAAGGTCAATCACAATGCAACAAAGTCAACTTTCCAATGCAAATATTCTCCAAGCCTCTTATTCCCCAAAGACTGTTTTCCCTCTCATTTAAATGGTGATGTCTATTTTAAGGAGAATGAATTTATACTTTCTAAAGATGAATAACTTTTGTCACTAACTTACGAATGCCTTTTGTTAAAAAATTAAACCGACGCCTAACTAGACAGAATAAAAAGTGATCAATTTCTGTTCTATTGCCCTTCCCCGCTGTAGTGGCTCTCGGAGATTTTTGAAAGCAAGCAGTTTGTTCCCCGTAAGGTTTAGAACCTTATATCAACACTGATCATGCTTTATGAAAATCCTGTAGGTTCTGGGTATCGTGGTGTGGAAGGAGAGAAAAACGGCGCAGAGCGGCTCCAAATCCAGGCAAATAGGGACAGATGAACTAGGAACCGGTGCGTCCAGGCTAGTTCCGACTTTGGCCGCGAGCTGGAGCGGCTGTGGCGTAGGACTTGGGACTGGCCCCGGAGGCTTCTGGCAAGGAACTTGAGCCCCCTCGCGGCCGAACGGCCCGCAGAGGCCCCAGGTCCCTTTAAGGCGCCCTGCGGGCAGACCCGGAGCAGAGGGGGCGGGAGGAGGGCTCGCGAGCGCACGCCACGTGACTCGGCTGCCAAGTGCGCTCGCGAGTTTGACAGAAGTTTGAATCGGCTTCAGGGGTTTTCTGCAGCCAGAGGGGCAGAGCAGCGGTCCCGACCTCCGCGAGCGCCCGCTGCAGCGCCCGCGCCCCCCGCCCCGCCAGCCTGGAGTCCGCGCCACCGACGGCCGCCCGCGCTCCCGCACCGCTCGCTGCCCCCACCGCCGGTCAGCAGCCCCCCAGCCCCCCCGCGGTGCCGGCCGCAGCCTCCCCGCCAGGGAGCCGAGCCCCGGCGCTGCGCCCCGGCCCCGCTGTGCCAGCATGTCTTCGACGGAGGGCTCGAGTCGCGCGGCGGACAAGTCGCCGCGCCAGCAGGTACGCCCCGCGCGCCCCTGGGGCTGTCTTACCACCCCTTCTCCACCTGGGTGTCGGGCCGGACCCTCATTCCGCCCCCTCTCCCGACTGTGAGTGGGAGGAGGACCAGCGCTTTCCCGGGTCCCCCGCCGCCCTGACCCCCGCGCCGGCCCTGTTTCCGCAGGTGGACCGCCTGCTGGTGGGGTTGCGCTGGCGGCGGCTGGAGGAGCCGCTGGGCTTCATCAAAGTTCTCCAGTGGGTGAGTCGATGCTCTAGCCGCGGGCTATTTCGGGAGCCTGGGCTGTGACGCTGACCCGAAGCAATGTGGCCGGAGTGGGGGGGCGGGGAGGTGCTGTGGCCGGCCGTGACGGCAGGGTGGGGGGCGGCGACAGGTGGGCGGGGGAGGGGCGGGCTGGGGCTGCTTCTCCAGCACTTGGTGGCAGGAGGGCGAGGAGCAAGGCATGCGGAGTCCGGGATTCGGTCCTTCTATGTGCAAGGAGCCCTTGCCCAGGGCGCTCACATTTCACCCGGGCGACAGGACCCGGGTGTAACCTTTCCAGAACTCTGATCCTGCACATACCACTCTTCGGTGGCAGGAGGGGGGAGGAGGACAAGGAGGACGAGAAAAGCCACGGAGGGCAGAGGAGGGAAGGAGGCGGGCGAGGGAAACCATCCTGCCCCCCAACCCACCGTCACTAGATCTTGAAGGTGGGCTCCAGGGACAGGGTTCTGGCTGGCAGTTGCCCTGTTGAGGTCACTAGAGTAATCTGGGTTCCTGTGACTGAGGGAAAGGGTGAATGAATGAATGAATGAATGAATGAAGTCTATGACTCTAGGATTAAATAAAAGAAAAAATACTAAGACAATAAAAATCACACTGTGGCCAAAATGTGGCTTGTAGAATAAGATAAAACGCTGAGTAGGGAAGCTGGGGCTCTGGGTTTCAGACATGGACCTGCCTTTTCCAGCTTTGTGACCTTGGGCAAGTCACTTATTTGGACCTCAGCTTCCAACATTAGTTAACTGTTGATCACACCATTCTCAGGGTCCCCTTCTGCTCTCAACGGGTTGGTATGCCAGAATATTGCCCTTCATTAGACTCACCCCGTGACCTTGAAGAAATCACTTGCTCATAGCCTCAGTTTCCTCTGTAATAGTCTAGGAGAAAGACATCTCGTTACCTCACTGGTACTTTGAGATACTGGTATATTTTCTGTCCTTACCAGTGCCCAAGGCTTCCTGAGTGTAAGTTAGGAATGTGGACAGGTGCAGCCACTCTTTCAAATCATGCAAACTTGTTGGGAGCATTTAGTACACTATAACAGAGGAGATTTAAGTTAGACAATCCACACACCAAATGGTGTGTGAATAAATTAATGTGCTTTCAGCACAGAATTCAGCTAAGGAATAAGTTACCATTAAGGCTGAGGAGGATTGAGTTCTAAAGGACTTCTAAATCACAGGAGACAAGAATGAGCACTGTGTCACTGATTCCTGAATCATCATTTGGATGGGAATCATCAGATCTGGAATTCAGGGGCAATAGTGCATTTGGGGTTATCTCCAGATATCTGAGACCTTGACTGGGGCTATAGGCCAGGTGAGGAGCTCCCAAGTGCAAACTCTGGGACCTGGTGGGGACTTTCCACTCTCCCTACTGCCTCAAGAGCAGTTGGATGGACTGCTGACTGAGCAATTCCACCTCTCCCCCCCCAACTTCCCTGTTCTGACCCACCACTTGAATATCATTGGTGGCCATATAAGAATGGTATTAAGGTTCCATGTGACTGCCATCCACAACTAGGGAGCCATTATGAGGAGCAGAACCTGAAACGTAGAGTATAATTTTATCATTAAACTAGACAAATGGATCTAAGGGAAATTTGAGAAAGACTGTCAAGGGATAAGGAAAACAATGAGGTTATTAGACCAAGGAATCATCCTTTGTGGGGGGATTCTGAAAAGCTTCCCTCTTCAATCCTTCTATCCTTTTCTCAATGCCCCCCCCCACCCCCAATACCACATTTCTATAAAGGCTGCACAAAACAATGCCTAGGAAAATGATCCTGTCTCCTCCCAGGGTCAGTACTGATCCCTAAGAGTTAAGACCCATTTGACTTTTATGATCCTCAACTTCTTAGAGAGAGGGTGATGCCTTTCTCTCATAGTGCTAAATCCGGGGGCCCAAGGCTAGACTCTGAACTCAGCCTTCATGCGAACGGCAGCATCAAAGGGAGACATGATTTGCTTTTACTGCCATCCTGGCAGCCTAGCATGAATTTCACTTGCCCTGAGTTTCTGCAGGATGAGCTCATGTAAAGGTGCACAGGAACCAGCACCAGAAATAACAGTGAAAATGTCATTTGGGATTTTTACTCATTTCCTGCTTGGGGGCATCAAATGCTCCGGGGCTGGAAAAGGAAAAAAAGAAAACACAGATCTTGCATTTATCGTAATGATGCTTGAAAATTTTGTTGTCATTGTTATCCAAAAGCAATTTTGCTGGAATCCTGAGAAGAAGAAAGCAATATTAGGCTTTTATTAGTTAGGAGCTTGGCTTAGAGTATCTTTTTTTAAAATTCAGAAATTAATCTCACCTCAATTCCAATTCTGGAGTCTCACCAAGTCCTCACAGAGCTAGCAAAATAACATGGGTATAGACCAATTATTAAAGAACTGGTTTCCTAAAAAAAGAAAAAAGGCAGATTTTGAGGCTGAGGGGCTTTGGTTTAAATTGAGTCTCCTCTGCTTTCTAGCCATAGAGTCTAGGGTACCTAGGATAAGTAACAAAATCTTTGTGGGCCTTGGTTTCGTATATGTAAATGAGGGTAAGATCTAGCTCATGGGTTCACTGGGAGGATATAGGAGGTGATTTCTCTAAAGCATTGAAGCATTCAGGCCAAGCAGTCCAGGAGATATTCAGTGAGTGTTGGTTCTCCTTTCTCCTATTCCTAAACCTCCCCTTTCCCCTAAATTTCTTCTTTATGCAGACTGTCAGCTAGACTTCTCCTCTGGTTAGATTAATCAAATGTCACTGCCAAATCCTCGCTTTGAGGGTAAGGCACAAAGGAATCTCCTGGATACTCAGTCACTGTTCCCATAATAAGTCATATTATCATTAACTGGGTGTACCCCTGATCAGTAATTTACCTTTGAGGTGCCAAAGCCACATACTTGGCTCTGGGGTCTCTGTAATGAAAATAAGCTATTTCAGTTGGTGTGGGGAATACGAAAGAATACCATCAGAGTCCATAAAACTAAGGAGATGACTGTCGGGTAAGAGTAGTGGGAGACCTTGTCTTCCTTGTGCCCCGCACTAACTGGGGATGGGAGTGTTGTCAAAGGATCATCACCATCAAGCAGGCCGGCACCAAACTGGTGAGGTTATTCTGACACCCTTCCCAAAGAGAAGCAGAGACAGGAGGAGGAGGGCGTGGAGAGCAGTCAATGACCATCGCTGTCCCCAGCAATACAGGTCTAAGAGGAGGAAGGCTGGTTGGCATCAGAACTTCAGAGATCCGCACTCCTCCCCTCCACTGTCTCAGGGACTCCATCTCTCCTTGGCTCCTGTTTTTTTTTGAGCAGTTTGCTCAACTCAGACCCTTGTGTTTGGTGACATGATGGTTTCAGTTCTTTCCTGCTCTTCACTGTGCCTCAGTCTCCTGGCACATTTAGGGAAGAAGGCAAATCTGATGCCGAAAGGTGGAGGGGGCAGGGTCAGGGTGTCTTTCTCTGCTCCTGCATCCCAGGTGCAGAGCTACTCCCTGCCTCCTTACAAACTTCACTGAACATAGGAGAGAGCTCTCTCTTTTTTTAGCCTTAATAACTTTGTGATGCAAAATTTTTGTTTGTTTGTTTGTTTATTTGAGGATGACACCTTTTTCCTTGACATAAACTCACAAGAGAAGGTACCAGGTCTTATTCATCTTTGTGCCACCAGCACTTGGCACATAGGGGATGGTCAATAACTGTTTGTTGATTAATGAATGAATGAAGTAGAAAGGGCACTGGACAGGGAATCAGGAGATGTGAATTCCAAGGCTGGCCCTCATGATGGCTAAATATGGCCTTGGGAGAGTCACTTGATCTTTTGGGACTTTAGTTTCCACCTCTGTGAAAGGAGACCGTTGGGCTTAATAATCTCAGATCTTTTTTTTTTTTAAGATTATATTTTATTTATTTATTTTTAAGATTTTGTTTATTAGAGAGACAGTGAGAGAGGGAACACAAGCAGGGGGAGTGGGAGAGGGAGAAGCAGGCTCCCCACCGAGCAGGGAGCCCTATGCGGGGCTCGATCCCAGGACACCGGGACCACGACCTGAGGTGAAAACAGACGCTTAACGACTGAGCCAGCCAGGCACCCCTAAGATTTTATTTATTTATTGGTCAGAGAGAGCAAGAGAGCACAAGCAGGGCGAGAAGCTGGCAGAGGGGGAAGCAGGCTCCCTGCTGAGCAGGGAGCCCAATGTGGGGCTCAGTCCCAGGACCCTGGGATTATGACCTGAGCCGAAGGCAGCTACTTAACCAACTGAGCCACCCAGGACATTTTGCTCTGATGTCCTATGAACCTGTGAGGTTCCCCTCAGATTTTTCCCTTCGTCCACTTACCTAGCAAACTTTATGTTTTCTGACATCATATGACTGTGATGTTCAGATTTAATTATATATTCTGATTGACAAAGAGCTGTGTAAGGTGGTTAGGGATTCCTGACTTTCAAAGACTCCGAAGAGAAAAGGATACAGCTAGGACTAAAGCTATTTGTGGTATATTTCACTCTTTGAGGAATCATAGAGCAGGGTTCAGGATTTTCAGAACTTCAAGGTTATCATCTAGCCATAGCAGAACTTTGGATAGTAATGGTAAAGTTCTCCAATATGGTACCTGCTAGCCACATGTGGCACTTGAAATGTGGCTCGTGTGACTGAGCAACTGAATTTTTAATTTTATTTAATTTGAATGTAAATAGCCACACTTGGCTGGTGGCTACCATGGTGGATAATGCAACTCTAGAGTATGAGTTCCATGAAGACGGAGATTTTTCTCTTCTGTTCACTACTAAGTGATAGTGCTTAGAACCGTGCCTGGTACACAGTAGATGCTCAATAAGTGTCATCTTTCTGTAGATGTGCCTGTCAGGGAAGTGCTGGTGAAGAGAAGGCCCCACAACTGACCATTCATTGCCCCAAGTTAGGAATACCTATTTTCTTAGGGGACCTATATAGAGCTACCAGCCAATGGGTAAAAATATATCCAACTGTCTGCCCTTCCTGGAATGTGACACCCTAATTGTGTGTCCAGTTCTGAGGGCCAGAGGCTAGGAGGAATAAAGAAACCTGTAAGAGGCTCACAGAGCTGACAAAAATTCGAGAATTCCCATGAAGAAGAGCTGGAGAAGCGCCATTGTTATGCCAGTGAGGAGGCTTGGAGTATATAAAGGGTAATGATGCAGAGGCTTTGGGCAACTTCTCTTCGGCTCTGTCAACATGAGCAAACAGGGCTGTACTTCAGCCTCTGTAAATTAAGCCAGATGAAGAGGTTATTCAGGCACTGGGGAGAGTTATGCTCTCTCCTTTCCTGAATGTGTTTTAAAAATGGAGACCATTCTCCTTTGTCTGAACTAAGCCTCCTGGAAACAGAGAGGTGCCCATTATGACCTTTACAGAGGGGTCAGCGGCTCCAGCATGGAGAAAATCTGCCAGGCCAGGCGATGCAAGGCGGGGCAGGGGCACCGGGCACGACCCAGGGGCAGAGCACAGCTGCTGACCAGCCCAGCCAAGGGCACACTGATTGCATTACCCTCATCCAGTGAGAGCAAGGCCTCTTGATGGCCTGCTCCAAACCTGCCCTTGTACAGATGAGGAAACTGAGACTCAGAGAGCAGAGCAATTTATGAGCGTTCACCCAGCTAATGAGTGACCCGGACAAGGGCTAGAACCCAGATTTCTAAACTCCTAGCCCGGGTCTGTTTTTACTCCATAACACTACCAAGCATTAGCAAAATCACGTGCACACAACTCTATTCTAAACTCTGGGTGCAAGCCTGGGACGTAGATGAGCTGTCTTCTAGGTGCTTAATGTCCAAGACACCAAGACACGGAGAAACACACAGAAAACGATCATTAACAGGGTAAGCTCTGTGCTTGCTAAGAATGAGTCCATCATGTACAAGCCTGTACAAGGTAAGTGCACAGGAAATGGGGCCTGAACAGATGAGGTGGGAGGATCAGAGATTCCAGCTTCTCGCCTCCTTTTCTAACTGATGTGTTTCCCCAGAAAGAAATGCGAAAACCATAGGTTGAGGACATTTCATTTCACTTAAGACAGGAGGTTTAGCAAAATGTGATGAAAGGTGAAGGGGAAAACAATTCAAGTGATCTGAAATGCCTCTGGTTCTTAACACTGAGCGATGGCAGCATCAACAGATTACAAAGGGAAACACCGCTGGGGAAAGAGTGGAGGCTGATAAGGCAAGTGGAAGCTGCTTTTCTCTGGGCTTGAGCCAGGACTGTTGCTGCAAGTAAAAGGGCCTTTGGGGGGAGGAGGAGTTAGGCTGGCAGAGCATGGGACAGCTCCCCGCCTGGCCCCTCTGAAGGCTTGGCAGAAGTTGTCCCTTCTAGCTACACCTCCAGTGAGGCAGGAAGCCACTGGAAGGTAGCGACAAGGGAACAAGATTCAATGACAGCTCCAAAGGAGAAATGGAAGGAATTCCAACACATGCCTGATCCCAGTTGGCACAGAGGAATCTATTTCTAGGGTGCCTCTCTCCTGGGGAGGAAATTCAGGTCCAGCTTTATGCTAGATGTTTCCAAAAGCCTGAATTGCTTTGCGTTCGTCACCATCTTAAGGAGGCGACCTGTCACATCCAATGGGGAGATGTGGAAACTATCCATTTGCTCTCTGTATGTCTCCCTCCCAGACACCACTCCAAGTCAACCTCATTCATTTGGCTATTTGGTCTGGAACTCGGGTGCAGTGAACACAGCATCCTGAGGCGGGAAGGCCAAGGGAAGCCATGAGTCCCTGCCCAGGAGGGACTTGATTAAAGGAAATCCTCCCCCGCCCCCATAACTGCACCTGCTGAGAGTCAGAAGATGGTTCTGAGGGGATATACCTTGGCCAGTTGAGGCCTTCTGACTCTCAAAGGGCTTCCCTCTCCCTCAGCTCTTTGCTATTTTCGCCTTCGGGTCCTGCGGCTCCTACAGTGGAGAGACAGGGGCAACAGTTCGCTGCAACAACGAAGCCAAGGATGTGAGCTCCATCATTGTTTTGTTCGGCTATCCCTTCAGGTGAGCGGGAATGGATTCTGACCCCACACAACCTCTCTCGCTGGTTTGGCAGGACCTGCTTGGACTCTTCCTCCTCCAGAAGCCTAAAGACTTTTTGTTGAGTGCCACTCGGGTTCAAACAGAACTACAAGACTTGGGTCCTTCCTGCCTTTTAGGAATTTCAGACACACTAACCGTAGAAAAATATCAGGGAAACTCAGATAGGTCATTGTTATAATAATGTTCCTGTCCATAGATAATCAATAGCAGGTAACCAAGTTCCTACAGAAAGAACCCATGCAGTTTGGGATGGAGGCTAGTTGGACAGGTCTCTCTGACCTTCAGAGACCTTCTCCCTGCCTTGAAGGTTAGGGAGCTTGTTAGTACTTAGATCCTAAAGAGTTGATATGGGGTACCTCACCTGGTACACTAGAATACAAGGACATATACCTTGACCAGGAGGTAGAAAAAGAATACTCTTTCCTGGCTATTTGTCCCAACTGCTCAGAAGAGAACTGGGGACAGGGCTCGCCTTTTCAGATATTTTTAGTACCAACGGCCAAGTTAGGTTAACTATCTCTTGTACATAACAGGGTTTTGTTTTGTTTTCTGTCCTTATTTTGTCCCATATAGTCTCATGGGGGAGGGATGCTAAATAAGGCCTGAGAATGGGCAAGTCCAACCCTAACCTGGCCACTGTGGGCCTGTGCTCTCCGGGGGGGCAAAATGAAGCTGATCTCCCTGGTGGTTTGGCTACCAGAAAATAGATGCACTATGTATATTGTGGTTGTGACCTAAAGGGCCCTTGGAGATACTTGGAAGTACATGGTCACTGTATCTGGGCAAGGTAGATGAGGGTGGGGTAGCGGCTGAATGGGAGGTAGAGTTCAACCAGATTTCTGGGGATGTTTCTGTCTTGACTGCAAGGTTGCCTCCAGAAAGTCCCCTTTCTTGGCTCTGTAAGAGTCCCAGGGTGAGAAGTAGCGCGGACTACTCCCAGCGCAGGGACAGTCCCCTGCCTCCACCGGGAGGGTATTGCCCCAAGCTCAGGATGACACCCCCCTGCCACCCACAGGTTGAACCGGGTCCAGTATGAGATGCCCCTTTGCGATGAGGACTCCACCTCCAAGACCATGCACCTGATGGGGGATTTCTCTGCTCCCGCCGAGTTCTTTGTGACCCTGGGCATCTTCTCCTTCTTCTACACCATGGCCGCGCTGGTCCTCTACCTGCGCTTCCACAGCCTCTACACAGAGAACAAGCGCTTCTCGCTCGTGGTGAGTGGGCACCGGCCAGGAGGGATGGGGTGGAGAAACTGAGGAGGTGTGCCTCCTGGGACTGATGTCACATTGAGGGGGGAGGACACCCCGATGTGGAAACTCCTGCGACTCCCTGCCAGCTCTTTGCTGTTCATCCCCTGCAGGTTCTGTGGTTCCCACAGCTCCGAGGACTCTGCCTCTAGCAAACCCCTATCACCTGCTGTGCTCAGAGAGGGCGGAATAGCATCAAGAAGTGGGCTCTGGAGCCAGACTGCTTGGGTTCAGAGTCCAGGACAGTCCTTTATAGCTGTGTGCTCTTGGACAAGTCACTCAGCCTCTCTAAACCCCAGGTTCCTCAATATACAAGGGGGATCAAAAAATACCTATCTCATAGTGTTTGGGGGAGATGAGTGAAAATACTTGTAAAATATCTGATATATAGTTAGCTTCAATAAGTGTTAGCTATCATTAATATTCTTCCCCCTCTCCCGTCTCCATATCCCAGGCATGCAAGGTGGAAGGGGTGCCTTAGAGGACCCCATTTGTCTCCTGCAGTCTGCCACCAGTGGTAGCTGAGCAATGGTGATCAAAGGAAAGGCTTGAAGGCGAGAGTGGGGAGTTTAGGCCACCTGGGTTTGGGGGTGACAGTGACCAGCAGGTACCTTGATACATTGTTGCTTGACCTCCGTTCTGAGGGCCTGGGCAGGGGTAGCCCTGGGTGGTAGTGTTCCTTTAGTGGCAGTGAACAGATTCCTGAAGATGACCGGGGCTCCCTGAGGCTCCAGGTGTTGGGTAGGACGGCAAGAGGTAGCTGTCCTGGGACCTCAGGATCCCAGGGCATTTTGGCCAGAGGAAGAGAAGTAGGCCATCAGGGGGGCCTTTCTGAGTGCATTTCCTATCCCTCTGCTCCTCCCAGGACTTCTGTGTGACTGTCTCCTTCACCTTCTTTTGGCTGGTAGCTGCAGCCGCCTGGGGCAAGGGCTTGACGGACATCAAGGGGGCCACACGGCCATCCAGCCTGACGGCAGCCATGTCAGTGTGCCACGGAGAGGAAGCGGTGTGCAGTGCTGGGGCCACGCCCTCTATGGGACTGGCCAACATCTCTGTGGTGAGACCTGCGGCCGCTGCTGGTGTCTGGGGGAGGCTGGTCCCAGCTGGCAGGTTCTGAGAGGAACAGAGAGAGGGTGTCTCTCCAGCTGGTATCCCCTGCAACTGGAGCCAGTGACCCCAGCACCTAAGGGTGGCTGCTGGCCCCTGGATGACCCCGAGAAGACATGTTGGTTTTTGGGGGGGGGACCCAAGAGCCACTTAGCCTCCTGTTCTTTCCTCCTTCTGTACTCTGCCCTCCCATTTCCCTTCTCCCCACCTCCAGGCATGCTCTCCGTGACTGCCTCCCACTCCTTCTGCCTCTTGACAATGTGTGTGTGAGCATGTGAAGGGGCGCGCAGGCTGTGTGGCTGGGCTCAAGACTGGGAGCAGACCCAGAGTGAAAGAGAAGGGCTTCATTGTCACCCAGGCCTCTAAACTGGAAAGGGGCTTTGGGCAAGGGTGGGCCCAGCTGGTACACAGAGGTTTGGCCATCCTGGTTGTTAGAATGTGGAAATCTTTCCATATCAGTTGGCACATAGCTGAGGCTTCAAGCTTTACAAATGCCCCCTGTCACCTTAGCCTTGTCCTGAAAATGGCTTAGAACTCCCCAAGGCCCAACAACTGAAGGGGTTTCATCGCTGGCACACCAGGGAGCCTTCTAGACCTTGCTAGAACCCTGCTGATAGGTTTTAGCCACCAACATTTTATTGTACAAATTTTCACACATAAAGTTGTAAGAATTTTACAATGAACACCCACACACTCATCGCCTAAAGTGTACCATTAACATTTTCCTAGACGTGGGGCACCTGGGTGGCTCAGATTGTTAAGCAACTGCCTTCGGCTCAGGTCATGATCCCGGAGTCCTGGGATCGAGTCCCACATCGGGCTCCCTGCTCAGCAGGGCGTCTGCTTCTCCCCCTGTCCCTCTTCTCTCTCACACTCTCTATCTCTCATTCTCTCTCTCTCAAATAAATAAATAAAATCTTTAAAAGAATCTGTTAAAAAAAACCATTTTCCTAGACGTGCTTTATCACATATCTGTCTGCCCCTCTTCATCCATCAAACCATCTTATTTTTCATGCATTTTGAAGTCAATTGCAGACATCAGTACAGTCCCCCCAAAATACTTCCTGCTGATAGGTTTTTAAGTATCTTTTTAAAAGATTTTATTTATTTATTTGACAGAGAGAGAGCACATGAGTGCCCAAGTAGGGGGAGCAGGAGAGGAAGAAGCAGGCTCCCTACTGAGCAGGGAGCCGGATACGGGGCTTGATCCCAGGATGCTGGGATCATGACCTGAGCTGAAGGTAGACGCTTAACTGACTGAGCCACCCAGGCACCCCTTAAGTATTTTTGAATAAATATTTGAATATAGCCCTGGCTGGGTCCCTGGCCCAGGAAAGGAGCACCTTGGACAGCTCTGGTCACACCCACCATTGAAAAACGGCACTCAGAACAGTGCTGTCGAGAGCGCACTAGAGCCCTTGCTCCTTGCTATGCTTTGCATGGTGTTTCACTCCAGGGGCCAGATTCTCCTAGCGATCAAGCTACAACTCAGGTGCATGCTGTGGACAGTTAGAGACTTTCACTAGAGAACCCGTGGTGGGTATCGGCATTGAACCCTGCCTCTACGTCCAGTTCTCTGTATATTAGTCTTCCCAGCCCTCTGCCTCTTCCCCCACCCACCACAGGGACTCCCCCTACTCTCCGTTCCCACAATGCCCTCCTTACTGTTCTCACAAACTTCCCTGATGTCTTTGCAGCTCTTCGGCTTTATCAACTTCTTCCTGTGGGCCGGGAACTGTTGGTTTGTGTTCAAGGAGACCCCGTGGCACGGGCAGGGCCAGGACCAGGGCCAGGACCAGGGCCAGGGCCCTAGCCAGGAGAGCGCAGCAGAGCAGGGAGCAGTGGAGAAGCAGTAAGCAGCCCCCACCTGGCTACTCCCGAACAGGACAGCACCTCTTCAACCACCTCCAGCTTCCAGGACCTCCCTCTTCTTCCTTCTCCAACTCCCCTCCCCTGTCATTCTGGGCTTTGAGCTTTGAGACGTCGTCGCTGATGGATGGGCAGGCATCAGCTGTCAGAAACCTGGGCAGCCCTCCCAGTGGCTTCCTAGCCCTCCTCTGGCTGGAGCCTCGGATGGCAGGAGCTCAGGGCTTCTTGTCTACTGCCTGGACCCCCAGCATCTTACTTGGGGTCTTACTTATACCCTTATAGCCTCTGAGAATGAGCCTCTACTGCAGGGGGCAGGAGACCAGTCTTGAGACTCGTTCCTAGCAGCCACTTCTATCAACGTGTCGCCTTCAATAAAAGTGGGGGGAGGGGAAATTGGCTGGCAGCCTTCTTCCTGGTTCCTTGCATGAAGGGCCCACCAGCAGTTCAGTGACCCCTCTTCAATGGCTGTCATCTAAGCCTGTGTCTGCCCCCATCTCCAGTCAGCCCGTGCTCTCCCACTTTTCCCTCTGGCCTCTGCTCAGCCACACAGCCTACCATGTGGGAACCCAGGAGGCCAATTAGCCTAGAAAACAGCTCTGTAGAGGGTCCTGATGTGGCTGATGTGGTCTCAGTGGGGAGCAGATATATTGCAAATGGGTTGCAACTTCAAGACCCTGAAGCCAGGAAACTTGCTGGGGAAGCATTTCTTCTGTTCCTTCAGTCCTCCCACCTCTCCAGGCTGGGGCACTTTCTACCAGCACTATACTCGTACTTACCCTAGAAACTCCCGACCTTCCTCCCTGCCCTCCTTCTTGGGCTTAGTCTCACGTATGGGACACAAGATGAGTGGTCTGGGAGCATCTCCATTTCAGCCCTTCCCGCCTCCAACCTCTCCGTCCATCTCCCTTCCCCAGCCTCTTGGGTTTGAGGCATTCGAGATCCTTTTCCATGTCTGTCCAGGCCTTCCCTTCATTCCTGTGGGTCCAGATAGGGACTTTGGAAAGGCCCAAAGGACCATCATGAGGCTAAGTTGCCCCAGAGCCCCAGGACATGGATGGATGGGCCCATTTCTTCCTCATTTCCCCCCAACCCACAACTCCTCCCCCGGCCTCTGTTTCATACTTCCATGCCTCACCTTTACAAAAGGACACGCCCTCTCGGTTTGCCCTCGGTTCCTCCCCTGCTTCCTCGTTTCTCCCAGGCTCTATCCCTCCCCACCCGAAACCCAGTCCAGGGCAGGCCAATGCTATTGGTGCTTCTTCACTTTGGGACCCAGTTCCATATTTGTCTTTGATATGTCTCCTCTTCCTGACACCTCCTTCAGTCCCTCTCTGGACCCCAGGGCCTAAGAGTCAGTGCTGACTGGAAAAGGGTCATCCATCTCCTACCCAGTTCAAAGCACTTTAGTCTGACGTGGGCCATAGGGCTGCTCAGAGAAGGATGGAGAAGGAAGAATCCAGCCATTTTCCAATCCAGTGCCAATTAGCCCACTTATCATCCCAAAGGTGCATGTGCCCTGTGCCAATTTCTCCTCGGGACTGAGACAACCCCTCCAACCTTCTCACCTCCCTTAACACCATCCATAGTAATGTGCACATTACTGGGGTACCCAGAAGGCAGGATCTTTGACTTTGGGCCAATGATTTTCTTCTTCGGGTCAGAGTTTCCCCGCTTGACAGGGGGAGTGTGAGATTTGCCTCCTCAAATGCTCCAGAACCCTCCAGTGAAAGAATTAGGTTTTTTGTTTTGTTTTTGGATTTGGGGGAAGGGATTTGAGGAGGGAAGAGAGGATATGGGGATATTCAGACTGTTTCTAAGTCTGAACCTCTCTCTGTCCTGAACTGTCCCCACGGTTACTCAAGCAAGAGGGGGAACAGTTTTGCCTACAGTTCCAGAGACACAGAGAACAAAGCGGTGACCATTTTTCTTTAGGCTGGCCCCTGGGAGGGGCTGTGAGCAGCTTCGACTGGAACTTTGTTTGGATTCTGTGTATGTATGTATAATTTATTTGAAATATGATGGATAAAGTGTTCCCATTTGGGGGCTGAAGTTAGCAACTGGCCCTTGGGCTAGGGGAAGGGGGGGGTGGGGTGGGGTGGGTATGCACTCCTGCCAAGGACTCCTAGCCCAGAACCCTCCCTAGAGCAGAGAAGGCTCTTTCTCCTCCTCAAGAGGTAGCTTGTTCTCATCCAGAAGGGCCTTGATTTTGGTTAGGGCCTTGCTTTCCATGACCACCCTAAGAGGAAAGGCTACTTCACCTCATTACCTCCAGAGGGCTGGGCTAGGCCAAGTGCCGAGGGCAGAGCTGTCCTCCCAGGACTCATGTCCCCTCCAGCCAGGGCTGGCACCACTGCTTTGCCTAGCGGGGACTAGGGTAGGAGACTGTGTCTGGTCTCTCCAGATTGCCAGAGGCCAACAGGCAGGACGCTTGCCCTCTGCCCTACCAAACTCTGACACTGCCAGGGTGCCCACCAAGGACCTTTTCGGAATTTTGAGTTCCCTCCACTACCATGATCATAGGTCTCTTCCTTCTGGGATTGAAGATCAGGGTGGGGGGTGGGGGGAGAATGTTGCATGTTGTTTTCTGATGCTTGTTACTACACATTTGAATAAACAGTGCTTCGAAGCATTTGCCAGGAAGGAGCTAAGACTAGAGCCCTTCCAGGGATTTTTTTTTTCTCTTCTTCCCATTGCTTTAAGTTCTTGCATTTCCGCCAAAACACCATTCCACTCCTCTCCACCCTGCACCCTAAGCAATAGAGTCTGCATTTCCTCTTTTAGTGGCACCAATTTGTCCAAAGTAACTGAGACTGGTTAGCAAATTTGAGCAAACTCAAAAGGCGAGAGATAGTGGCTTTCACAGTGCTGTTTCCCTTTGCTCTCCTAAGCTTCCTGTCAGGAGGTGAGGGCCGCGTGCCTTGCCCTTTTAACTACAAAGGTTCTTTCTGAACAAACTTGCACCTCTATCCCCCTTCTGACAAGTGACCCTTACATTCCCTAGAAAAAACACACTTACACATAACGTTACATTCAATTTCAACAAGTTCCTGGACCATCCCCCCCACCCCATCATCTTTGGTTCTCGGGTTAAGAATCTCTGCTCTCAGAGATTATCTTCACAGTACTTAAACCTTCCCTGGGTGAAAATGAGAAGAAAGTCTGAGGTCTTGAAGTCACAGACCTTGACTTATTTGCCTCCAGTTTGGTTTCCTTTAGCTGAAGGAATGAATATGGGGTGAACTGTGAGAGTTGAAAAGGGAAAAGAGAACTAGTCTCTCTTTTCTGATGTGATGGGGGGGCAGGCTTTTGTCTCTTGATTGTGGGAGGGTGGGAAGAAATGTTATCAGCTGAGAAGAAGAAAGAGGATGATTAAGGTATTTTCCAGGCCTTAGCAAGGAAAATGACAGATCTGATGAGAAATCTCCCTATGCTGAGGCTCTGGTAGCAGCCTTTCCAGCAGAGAAAATATTCATTAGAAAAAGAAGCCAAAGTGATGGATGGAGTCAGGGTCCAGCCAGGGTTTGGGAAGAGGCGGTACAGGGTATCGATCGCAGTTCTCAGGAGGAGAGAAGGATCAGCAGAGATGCTGCAAACAGCAGCAGCCTCGGGGCCACCCCAGTTCCGGGGCTGGCTCTGGCTCAGAGATAGCCTTCTGTCATCCTGACAGGTGATCTTGATCAGCTCATCTAGGTCCTCCCAAACCCAGACAACGCCACTCCAGCCCTCTACCCTGCTTCAGGGCACCGTGGGTTTCCCACAGAAGAGACACAACACGAGAGCCGAGGACCCTCCCCCACTCCAACCCTCGTGTCCTTCAGCACATCCTACAGACTCCCTCCCCTTGCCCTTCGGATTCACAGCGCCCACCTCCCTGCACCTACCCTATTCGATCTACAGGGGAGCGAAGTCGCTTCTTGACCGCCAGCCCGGGAAGGGGCGCCAGCCAGCTGGCGAAGGCACGGCTTAGAGGGGCGTCTTGGGCAGAGAGAGGCTTGGGGCTGGGGTGTGTACGCAGTGGGCTTGGGAGAGCGTGCTGGTAGCACAAAGAATGCGTGCACAAGGGTTAGGAGAGGAGGTCCTGGGGCTTTGGTCTCTTTGCCCTCCGCAATTGTGCATTTTGGAAGGGCTCTTGCTGCAAGCTCCGTAGGCACCGGCAAGTCCCTCCAAGACTACACTTCCCAGAAGGCTATGCGACAGGGAGAGTGAGGGGAGGACAACCTGTGCTGCGCTTGCGCAAAGAGTGAGCTGGAAAGGTGGGAGGGAGAGGGGAGGCGTGCCCGCGGCGGGGCTAGGGGGAGGGGGCCGCGCGGCGGTGGCGCCGGGGCGGGCGCGCGTCCGCGGCGGTGATGGCGGTGCGTGAACGCGCGGCGGCAGCAATGGCCGCTCTGGAGCGGCGGGTGCCGAGTCTCGATGACTTCGCGGGACAGAGCTGGAGCTCGTGGGTGGAACGGGCCGACCTGCCCGCGACCGACGGTGAGTGAAGCTCCCCTAGAGTCCGGGGACCCCATCACTGTCTCCCCTCCCCCTCTCCGGGCCCCCGCCTGCAGAGGGGAGCCGCCGACGGGAGCCGCCGTCCGGCTCCCCGGCCCCCCAAACAAAGGACCCGCCGGGTCCTAGTGCCCGCCTGCTCCGTCACCTTCGCGCCTCCGGGTCCTAGCGCCGGCCCACCGCCGTAGCCCACCCTGCCCACCTCTGCCTCTGCCGGTGCCCAGTACCTGCCCCAGCATCTGCTTGCTTTTACCTTCCTCTTCGTCTGCTGTCCTCTAGCTTCCGCCCCTCCTGCACCTGCCTAGGGCTTTCCCCGTCCGCAACAGTCCTCTCCACGTGTTTCCCACGCACCCCACTTCTGTGCCCCCCTCCCAACCCCCCTTGTTCCTTCGCCTTCTGCCCCACACCTCCGGCTCCTTTTCGGCGTTTGCCTGCGGGTTGCAGTGCCACTGGACCTCCGCCCCCTCCGCATTAGTTCGTCGGTCCATCCATCTATCCA